AACAATAGCTCTTAACTAAACAAAGGGATTATGTGCATCAAGAATTACAAAGAACAATATACAATCATACCTTGGATTGTTTTAAGAACTGCGGCTTGCTACAGCTGTCTACTCAAACTTTTCCAAAAAATATAATTGTAAATCAATTGATAAACGGCAAAAATCGGAGAAAATCGAAGGGACTACGCACAAAAGTGAAAAAAAATCAGTCCGCCATCTGCAATAGCGTGATTGGACAAAATTGGTCACGTGGACCGTGTCCAACACCGCCGAAAAACAGTTTTGTCCATAAAACATGACAGTATAGTCCGGACAATAAAGAGTGGGTTTGATCCAGGTAGCACAATTAGGACATGTTTTGTTGATTCTAGTACAGGCAGGGCAATTCTGCCCTTCGCAGTTATGTTGCTGGGAATCCTGTGTATTGTAGCCTTTACCGCAAAGATGACAACAATACGATCAATTGATGAGGGCAGGATTACTGGTGAGACCGTCAAAATGTCCTTGATGTTTTACTAAACCAATGCAATGAGGGGCTCGATTATACTGTTAATCCTTGAATACAATTAAACATTTCGAGGGTTCAACCATGATAAGTTGGTATGCCTGTGGTCCGAGGTAATCTCGGCATTTTTGCAATTCCTCGAATCCTCAGGGGCCTTCGGGAACACCCGCTTCTTGATAGAGGAACCGTGCCCAGCATTCTTAAATGGGTCTTCCACGTCTCAGATCTTGGTAATGGGACCCCTTATCCGTTTTTTCTTTCATGGTGACTATCGCTCTGGCACAATACAAGTCATCTTTGTTTTGGATACGTACGACCCATCGCTTTTTCTTTGCCATCCTTTCCCAGGCAGTTTTTCCCAGATTTCCACATTTCCCCCTCTTTCCTACACCACGCCCCAGCCTTTTCACAAATGTGAGTTCCACAAAGAAATCATCCCAGAATTTAATTTACGCGCTAAATCTTCTTAAAACGTGCGAGCGTACTCTTGATTATTAAGCCACTCTTTTAAAGGCACACGACAGGCAGATTGACTCCAGACATGAGTAAATGAATTGGAATGAATGGCCATTAGTGATGAATAATTAGCAGGATTGATTTGTTGGTCAGCAATCACTTGCTGTACACCTTGTCGAATAACTTCTGTAATGGCTTCCCCGAGTGGTTCGTTGTCGTCCGGTGTTCTTAATTGTGGAAAGGTTAATTAAAATCTTCTCTACTCCACCACACTAAGAAAGGATCTGTTTCTCCCGACTGCTGTAAACTCTGCTCTAAACAAGGGGCTGCCTCCTTGTTGTTCAAAACAGCGTGCTTCCGCTAACAACACATCACTGCCTTCGTCCAGCATATCTAGAGAGAAAATAGAAAACATATTAAACTCTTTGCAATTAATTTTAGACTAACAGATGTTTTTGTTTATTTTCGCTTCATTTCATTACTTTCGATCAATTTCTGCTTCATTTGGCTATTTTCAGCTTATTTCCACTTACTTCCGCTACCTTCGACTAATTTCCACTTACTTCGGCTACTTTCGGCTTATTTCCGCTAACTTTGACAACCTTCGGCTTATTTCCGCTAACTTCGACAACCCTCGGCTTATTTTCACTTCATTTAATTACTTTTGATTTATTTACACTTATATAGACTAACTTTGAGACACTTTAACCTACAAGGAAGCATTTTCAATTCATACGGGGGTTTTCTAGAAAAGATAAAGGAAAAAGTCACTTTCATTAACTGTGTTCCTCCTCTAGAAAGCCCACGGATCTACAATACAATTTCACTACACAAGAACGCTCTTTCTGCCAATTCATTTTCTGGCCTTTCAACGCCATTCTTAATCCATCTAACGTTAATTGCAATTTGAATATGTGATCACGATGACCGCACTCGGAAAACGAAATCCATTTACTAAACGAGCAATACAATCTTTTTTTTCCCAATGTTTTAAATCCTTTTCAACATGTCTAGAAAAACAAAATAAAAAAACCACATTGATAACCATAACACAATTAGGCTTGCGGACCAATTCAAATCTTTATACATTTCAATCCTCTCACGGGATGTTCTAAATAAAATTCAGAAACCAGACAGTGAATGAAGGTGACCAAGAAACATCAGGTACAAGTTTCAAAAAGATAAGGACATCCCTATGAACAAAAATAATTCATAACACTTCGTTTGCAAAATTCACATATAAAGGAATATAGAACATATCACAATTTTCGGGAATGTTCCAAGACGAAAAGGAAAGGTTTCCATGACTTTGTTGACAAAGCTGCAAAAAATATCGACAGGCCATGCATCCCTATTTGTGTCTCTGTACGCTTCTGTAAGTTTTAACGCAATTCTAGAGAGGATAATTGACAAGAAATATTTTAAGAAATAGTGGCCAGTCCAAATCTTTTATCATTCTAAGATTCATAAGGGTGTTTCTAAGAGCAAACAACATATAACTTTAGTACTTAAACAGGAAAGATTAAACAAGCGTCTCGGTAAAAATAACTTTTATTTATTACACTTTACAATTTTTACACATTCGAAGCCTCCAACAAAGCAGCCTCCATCCAGGGTGAGAGACTGATATACTTGCGAATGAAAATCCACTTAATCTCAGTTAGCGTCTTTCTATAATTGCAAACCCAAGCAAATTGATTTTAGCGTTGTTCTACAATTAGAAAAACACTTTCATTCCCACTAATTTCGCAAAATCTTCTAGATTTTTTAGCGTCTTTCTATAAAAAAACGGTCACTTCGTTTGATTGTGAAAGGACGACCACGTGGCTGGGAAACAAACTTCAGGTCCAGTTTAAATCATCTACCCATCTTAATTCTTCCATTACATACCTGAATTTCTTGGCATGTTTCTTTTGCCACTTTTTTCGGTTTTCCTCAAATTCTCTCTCTTCAAGGTCAATGCGAACTGCGTGCCACAGAAATAGATACTCTCTGGCGGCTTCACCCAGATTTGGTACGCCATACAACGCCAATTTCATTAAGGTAGAAGGGTTTCTGACTCGTGGTGTGTCTTCTTCATGCAGCTGGGGTAGAGGAATCAATGGTTGTCTGTTATACGCCGTAGTGAAAATCGTACGGAAATTGAAGAAACAGGACTACAAAGAGCTGAAAGACTCAAAGAGCAGCGTTCTGAGAACTGACACTTCGTTTTAGCGTCGTTCCTATACATCCAACACACCTTTACTCGATCATTGGCTTACTCCATTTCCCCTGGGTCTTTCTCTGTTTTGATTTGTTCCCCTTCAATCTTACTGTCAGCACATTTTCTTCCAAAACTCGCATTTTTACCTTTTACGCGTTTCTTTTTACTTTATTTTCCTCTTTCTAATACTCACTTTCTTCCTTCTGTGACTTTTTCCCCTTGATTTTATCTGTAAGCCCGGAAACCTGGCTGTCGTGACTACTTCACTTGACTGATTGTCGAATATTTAATTACCTTTCTCTTTACAACTTTCCCTTTTTTCTCCGCTTCCTCTCCTCTTCCTCTCCGCTCTCCTATTTCCTCTCAAAACCTTGCAACCACTTGATAAAAATGTTATACTAGCCTCTGCGAACCTTGTTTTTCTCACTTTTTATTACTGCGCATGTGTTCTGGTTGGCGCCTGCGCACTGTGCATGGGCACTTTTTCTCTCCCACGTCTGACTTGACTTCTTCATTTACACATATAAGTTCACGTTTCACTATCGTATAATAACAACTCAAATGTCCTTTCTTTATGCTCCGACAACTGCCGAACCTCTACATTGACTTCCGATGATCTCCGACGACTTCCGACTTCCGATGTTCTCTGATTGTCCACAACCAATCAGAGGGCTCCAAAGACAATAACCTCATTTGTATCATGGTAGGGACCCATAAACCCCTAATGCTGCTCTGGCCTTCGAACACGGCATCATAAAGTGTGTTGCCATCATTTATGCAGTTCACAACTGCCGAACTCCACTCCACAGGCAAGACAATGGAGCTGATATTTGGGAGCATGTTTCTTAAAAAATAGTTACCAACAAAAATCGCAATGAGGATACATGCATTGCTCCCATTTCTCCCTCCTAAGCAGGACTGACTAATGTTGAAGGGAAACAAAAATTCTGTAAAAGAGAACCCATATGGTTTACTCCGCCCTTCAACATGAACTGCCACATCACTTTGAGGCAAGACTAGAGTGGTTTGTACAATGACAGACTCATCTCTATAGCTTTTGGCAGAAGCTGTCACACGATCAACCTCTGTTTTGGCCTGGATGCATGCCACTCCACTTCCATAGTTGATTGCAGATAGCTGTCCCCAGGCTCCAAACTTCAGTTTGCTGAAGAAGGACTCGATCCCACTGCCATTAATTCTAATTGAGGCAATGAAATAGCCTTCTTCAGCAGGGACATGATAGACGAACGACTCGCTGTAGTGGAGAAATGAGCTGACCATGATCTGAAGCAGATCCCATGTCTAAACAAAACGAACAAAACCAAAATTTATAATGACACAATATAAGGTGTGGAATTGAAGTTTTGAAATGACTCTAGTCTGTTGCCAAATTCTCCTTTTGATAAACAGTCATTCAAAAAGTATGTTGGAAGGAGGACATTGCGGTTTATCAGTGGTCACTTGGGTATTTATTCTGGGCACCCTTTAATTTTCCAAAAGAATAAAATGAAATATACATTTCAATGGGAAAAATGTACTTATAAAGGCATAAACAGTGACCACATTTTAGCTGGGAGTAAATAGCCGACTGGTCAAGTGTTTTAACTTCACTTATCACAATTGAAAAATAATTCAATTAATTATTAATAAATTCCTATAATACCTGCCAAGCCAGGAAATTCTTTTGTCTGGACTTCACTGAATTGTCCCTGTAAACTAAACAGAGCGAAAAGTATGAATAATATAGTAACAATATAACAATGTTGGCTGATAAAATTAATGCACAAACATTATAGCTGAGAAAGAAAGCATTCTGTTTTGCATTAATCAGAATACTCATTAAAGCGGATATCTATCGCATTTTATCGAAAACAAATAATTCTTTACAATTAGCGAAAATTCTTTTGCTGAATTATGCTAATGCAAAAATATAAAATCTTTCTTTATTCACTCAAAAGATTGTTAAAAGTTTATTGGGATTATCGAATGATCTTATTTATGTAAAAATCTTTATTGACCACTTGAAAATTAAAATGATATGTTAGTTTTTTCTTTTCTGCAATGATAACAGTCATACAGTATATAGTATATAGTTTCTTTGAAAGAACCATGAAACTCTAATAAGAAATAACATTTAGCACAGCTTGCGGTCAGTCTACTTATTTTGTGACTTCTCTTGTGTTCTGTATAATCTGACACACATAGTAGCAACACTTTGCACTCTGTTTAACAGGTAGACTTTTATAGACCAAAATTTAGATTTACCTCTCTCTTTGTGCTTTTGAAACAAATCCGCAAAAAACTGAAAGCCATCTTTCATGTTCTCTATCACAGGGGAGTTCATTCCTTTTACTCTTTGTCTGCTGAGAATTCCCCTTTCAAAAATCTGGTTACATGCCTCCAGGTAATCGGCAGTCTTCTTAACGGAGGTGGCATCAGGTGGCATAGGTTGAGATTCAGAATAACCTCTTAAGGCACTTATCATGTACTTTTGCTGAAAGCAAAAGTAATAAATACAGCAAAGACATGTTTCCAGGGTCTACTTGGAGCAAATTTAGTTTTCCAATACCTTCGGTTCATATCTGAGTCAATGGTACAGCTGTAGATTCAATCTTTCAGGAATTAAACATTATTATTTGGTTTCTAACACAGAATACTTTTAGAGATCATGAATGCTTTGAGTAAACTCTTCAGGCTGAGATACTACAAGTGCAGGAACAGTGTAACGTAACAAGTTACATTACACGAAACCACCTAACGTAAAGTTATTGTTACCGGCATGATCTTGGCTGGTAGGACGTGAAGGCGGGTCCACACATCACGATACACATTGTTGTACTTAAAATTGGGGACTTTTGGAACACAATCCTGTTCCCTTCTAGCTTTGTCACGGTGGTACTGGTCTTCGATTGCTTTCCAGCCCAAAGGGGTATCATCAATTTCAAAGGCTTTGGTGCCTTTGGCTCTTAAGCTATACAATGCTGCAATCTGGTTTTTCAGCTGAAGATAGAAAATAAAGGAACTTTGTCCCATACGTGCTAAACAGTTGGTACTGCACAGTAAATTAATGGCTGAAATGTACCCTTCAATTTTGTTAATTAACATGAGGGAAATTTGTTATACTGGTAATATTTTGCATAACCAAATGTTTAAGATTTTTAACCATAGGACTCATAATACTTTCATTTTACAATATTATGAGCCAACGATTCAAATTTTGTAGTGGGGGCTGGGTAATTTCACGGATTGGAAAAACATTCTTGGACAGAGTGCGTTAACACCAAGAATAATTTAGTCATATATTAACACCTAATTTAAATACTCGACTGACAATTTTTAACAATTAACCTCTTTTGAAAAGAGGGTGAGGGAGACAGCCAATATATATTAATTTTGTAGAAGTGCTGAGATTCCTTGTTTATGTGAAATTCTTACAAAAGCAGTATAAGCAGTAATAAACAATTGGCTTTCTGACCACCGTAAGGATTGTGTCCTCGTTAGGTACTCCTTTAATGTTGTTACAACACAGTCTCATCCTTGAAAGGTCTGAGTTCTACAAGAGGGTTTTTGACACCTGGTCTGCTTTGTTTTAAGTGGTTAACAATCTGAAAAGTATAGCAATTATTCACAGAGACCATGTGGTCGATGCTTAGCAAATGAACGGTCTAATAGAATAATACAACGGTCTAATAGAATAAGCACAAGGAGTTTCAGCGTAAGTTCCTTCAAGGACAATTTATCCACAGGGGATAAAGACTAAAGGCATTAAAGACCAATGGACACATCCCAAATTTCCGTGTACTTAGGTCTCGGTGGTTTTTCCTGGAAAATGCCTCACATTAGCCGAGGTACTAGAGGGTGTTTTCCTACGCATGTCCCATTTTCTAAAGTAATATAGCTAGACAAAGCACTTTGGGCTGTATTGATGGCACTGTATGTAAGGCCTTGCTGATATAGCAGGGTTAGAAAATCAAGCACATACACTACAGATGGTTGAATGTGACTGATCTGCCTCTGATTACAAAACGTTTGCCACTTTGTAATGTAGGTACTGTACTGTTTCTTTGTTCCATCTCTCCAGGATTCCATGATCAGCTTAGCAACCACCTCTAAAATTCCTCTACCCTGGATGGATTGCCAGACAGGAGACATGCCAGCATAGTCAATTTCCTCCTTAAGGGTTGTAGTGTTTAAGGAGAGTGTGATAGTGAAAGTAGGTCCTCCTGCTTCGGCAAGACTACCGGTAATGGGATTGCAATTAACATTTTCAGCAGTTGTGGCCACCAAACTTGAGTAGGCCAAACTAGTAGGATCATGATTCCCTGAGGTACTTGTTCCTCCAAAAAAAAATGTGTGAAATAGCACTTGAATTTATTGGATAAGTTTCAGAAATTGTACAAGAACGCAACTGTCATCTAGAAATTTTTAGCCGTCCTCAAGCAACACAAAATTCTAGGCATTATATTCTTCTCTGAACAGATATTTTACAGAAAACAATCGTTGGGTGCCCCCTGATTCTTCTTTCCTTCACTACTCTAACTTAAGAAGGCAAACACGGGTTTGTGCCACGTTTCTCTCGGAATCGTATTTTAAAGAAATAAAAAGACAGTACTCACACAAGATCCGCTCCTGGGCTTTTCCGTAGGTGGTAAGGGACACACGCTGTCCTGCTCTCTCCAGTTGGTGTGAACTCGTGAAGAAGGCATAGGCCTCAGCAAGGAATTCTCTCAGGCTTGCCGGTAGCTCTTGAAGTCCTACGTAGTAAGGTTTTCTCCCTGGAAGTAGGGCTCCGCTATCTTGGTCATCCAATTCAGACGACGAAGAAAGGTAAATCGAGGCACCAGCTAATGTGCTTGCGATGATTTCGAAGTCGCTTGACGCACCGTCTGACAGAAGAGGTAGTCTGCTAAATTCGTTGTCTTGCTCTTCGGATTTGGATGACGACTTGACATAAATCGGGGCAGCAGTGGCTGTGTTATTAGCAATGTTTTCAAGTCACTTGAGGCATTGCCTGACAGGCGTGGTCGTTTTACTTGCAGACGTAGAAGGACCTGCCTCGTCGCTTGCGCTGTCTGACTCCAGGACCAAGACACTGTTCTGTTCACTGTGTTCGCTTTGATCCTCCTCTGCTGGCAGTTCAAACAGGAATTCTGAAGCACTGAGTGGAGAAAGCTTCGACGATGAATACACATACGTTTGATCCAAGTCTTTTACGTCTTTGCTTGACGTCAAATCGTACTGGACAATGGGTGACACGTCTGCTTTCCATAGCTATAGGACTGAAGGTTGAATATGCAGGGTAATAAATCACCAGAAATCAGAGAGGTTCTGCGTGTGTCGGCATCTGTCCAATGTGTGAGAGTACTGCGGATGGGTTGTGATGTTGTGATCACGGTGAAACAATGGCTTGTCCCCGGGCGTATCCCTTGGGAACAGACAAAAGTATGCTTCCAGAGCGAATCTTTCGATCCGTTTCTTCGTAAATTTGAACTATTTTGTCCCTATCTTCGTGACGCATCAAATTTAACTGAGATAGAGTTTGAGTAAATAAACGTGAAAAATCCTTTTATGGCCTGATGTAAACCTCGGTAGCGACATAAACCCAGCCTGCTTCTTGCACTTCAAGTCCTTTTCGCCCTCAACTGAAGCTGATCTGTCGGTTTTTAATTTGGAAAAGAATGCCTCCATCTAAAAAGAAACGGCGACCAGCTACCAGGTCACAATCAAAGTCCTTGGTGGAAACAGAAGCTGTCAAAAGCGGGTTAGCACTTAATTTCTTTTTTTATATTTTTTTTCTGAGAAACGAGGTCCTTTAATAATTTAGTGTCATCATCGTTGTCGCTATTTTGGTCTTGTAGCTTTTTTTCTCTCTCTTGTTTTTGGTAGTTGACCTCACTCGAAAAGGCAGAACAAAATGTATAGTGAGCCTATTTGATTTTTCTTTCTCGCGTCCAGTGCAGATCACAGAAAATTATTTAACAGTTGCTCAAGACATTTTCTGGTCGCAAAAGTTGTGCTTCGATGAACGTCGTCTTTTCTTTTTTTTCTTGAATGGAGTTCACGCCACCAGACTGGGTTAAATTATCTGATTATTTTACACTTTTTCATTGCCTGAAAAGATTCAAAATGTGCAACTTGGGGCTAGACATGCCTGTATAAACTACCAAAACAATGTAGAATATTGCATTGTTGCTGTTGTGTTACTTGGAAATGTGATAGCCAAATAGGGGAGGGGGAAACGGGGTGGTTTTCAAGTACTCCACCGATGCATTGGTTTGGTATTCAAACAGTACCTCTCCTTTTCCCCGCAGTTCTCATGGGTCTGCCAGAAAGGGAGATAAAGACGAAACGAGCGATGATGACAACCAAGAAGAACAAAGGTACAATTTCATTTACATTGGACATTCAAGAGCATCTGTCCCAAAAGGATGCTGTACAGTAAAAACCTGCATACGAGATTCTAGATTTACAGAAGCTGTTAGGCTAAAATTGATAAATTCAGACCAACACTGAATACACAGGGAATACAAGAAGCTCTACCAGCTAAATGGAGATTAAACCATTGCATATCCACACCCACCAATCCAAATACCTTTCATTAATTTTAAAAGTAAGAACCTGGGGAGCCTAATTTTCCAGTTCAGTGGGATATTTTTTTTAGAACCTTCACAGCCAAGCTAGGAAAAACGAAGGTTCTCATTTGGAGGTTTTTACTGGGCTGCTGATTCTTGTGTATGTTATCAAAGTGCAGTGTTCTCACCGGGATTTTGCCTTGGGGAGTCCCAGGGCCCCTTCTTCTGAGAAATAGGGGCCCTGTAAGAACATTAGGGGGCCTG